GTCCTTTTTATTTCTATCCTAAGCTTTACATTAAGAAAACAACCCTAATTGTCTGAACATGATAACAGGGTAAGATCAAACCCTTTGAAGGAAGGTAAACTTGTTCACCTTTTTATTCCCAGCGCTTGCCACAAGGCCTTTACCATAGTTGCTGTGGATGTATAAATGAATGGGTGGAAATACTATTGTTAATTTGAACCAGTGCTACAGAAGCTTTGCCTAGCACTGAAAGTCACGTACAGTTCCTCCTGTAGTATCAGGAAGAGGTTCACAAATTGTGTTGAGGCCTTTGGATAAGGTGACCTTTCCCAAATGTCTGGTTTCACTGTGACAATCCTGATATACACCTGTTCTCTTGCACATTCTGTCTAGTTTAGCATTTGTTCTGGATGTATCTTGTTTTTTTTATTTCTAGAAAAAATACTGTTTTTGAAAATAGTTTTTGAACAGTGCTATTTTATAGTTCTATTGGCATGATAAACAAATTTTTCAGTCAACATTGTTTTTGAATGAAAAAAATTTTCAAAGTTCAAAACTTCTATACTTCTCATTTTTTTGTGTTATGCCTTTTGATGCTTATAAGAATCCCAGTTTGAAACACACATCACATGGATACCTTACCTTATCATGTTTCCCTTGTACCTAGTAACCTAAAGCTCAATTTCACAAACTGTGTTCCATGTGCTATAGGATGCATGTTCTGTGAAAGAAGGGTTTAATGGTACCATAGATTTAGGAAACGCAATAAAATAGAATTCTTTGCCACAGGACTTTTTAGAAGCTTCAGCGTGCTTATGTGTATTCTGAATCTCCACAAGTAGGTTGCATTTCACAACCTTACTTGACTACAAAATCCTTTCTTCAGGAATCCTATTAACCTTCTATGAGATGTTTGTGAAACATAGGTCTTAATTACAGGGGAACCTGTAAGAATTTCCTAATTATTCCTTCTCAAGATCTAGGGAGATCAGCATGGATCCATGCCCTCTGAGCCTCAGGTGCTCCTACCTATCCTGTAGTTTAAAATGTACTTTCTTTCCCTTGGGAAGCATGAGAAGACAGATATTTTTACCCCTTTTGAGGGACTAGTTAATTATCTGGATCTGTTGCTTAATGCTCCCTGGCTCCAGTAGAAAGCTTCTGAACTAATTTCTGTGTTTACTTGTGCAGTTAACTGGTTTTTCTTTTCCATGTCCTTTTTTAAAGTATAGAACTTGGGAGCTGCCCAGACAGATCCTTAGGAGAAAAATGTAGTTACTGCAGTGATCACTAGATGGCAGAGCCAACACCCAGTGGATGTTGGACAAACAGTGGTGTGTGCACATGTGTGTGTGTTTGCATCAGTGGGAAGGTGTGT